AAACTGCTGTTAATATTTGTGTACAGGTTTTTGTGTGGACATATGTTTTCATTTCTCTGGGGTAAACACCCCAGAGTGTGATTACCAAGTTGTATTATAATATATAGTTAGTATTTTAAGAACCTTCCAAACTGTTTTCCAGGGTAATTGTACCATTTATATTCCCATCAGCAATGTATGACAGATCCAGTTTTTCTGGATCTCTCCAGGCTTTCGCAGTCTCACTATTTTTTCATTATAGCAATTCTGATAGATGTGTAGTGTTACCTTCCTCATTGCAGGTCACTGGAGTTCTTTCTCCGCAGTCTTGTGCCCCCTGGTATTCTGCCCCATGAACCCTAGTTGCCTGGGCCTCCTTGGACTCTCAATTCTATCGCCTCAACTCAGGGAGACTGACAGACTCTGCCTGGGTCCCCCCTCTGTACCACCTGGCCTAGAAACTCTCCCCAGGGGGGAGGCTGGGGGAGTAAGCTCATCTCGTTTGGTGGCCCCTCTCTCAATGATCACTGTACTTCATTGTCTCTTGTCAATGCCTTGAAAATCTATCATTTCATATAATTCATTTTTTTAGCAGTTTCAGGCAAAATCCAATCGCTGTTCCTCTATCCTGACTACAAGTGGAAGTCCATATTTTAGATTGATTTACGAGAAATAGCACTTATACTTAGAATCTAAGTCTTAGATGGATTCATTGTCAATTTTCTTATCAGAGCATCTATTCTATCTGTATCTCTCTATATCTATCTACCTGCCTTTTATCTATCTATCTATCTATCTATCTATCATCTATCTATCTACCTATCTAATCTATCTACCTTCCTGCTTGCCAATCATTGGTCTATCATAAATTTTGCTTAGCTAGAAGTCAAAGTTCTAATATCAGAACTGCCAATACTTACCTGTAGCATCTGAGACATTAACCTCTTCAAGTCACTTTATTTTGTTTTTTTTAAACATTTTATTTATTTATTTATTTATTTATTTATTTATTTATTTGAGAGAGAGAGAGCACAAGCAGGGGAGGGGCAGAGAGAGAGGGAGACACAGAATCCAAGGCAGGCTCCAGGCTCCGAGCTGTCAGCACAGAGCCTGATGTGGGGCCCGAACCCATGAACCATGAGATCATGGCCTGAGCTGAAGTCGAATGCTCAATGAACTGAGCCACTCAGTCGCCCCTTGAGTCACTTTATTTGTAAAAGTGTTGGTCTATATGAGCCATAATTCCTTCTCTGAGATTCTAGATGTTGTTTGCCTTCTCGGAGAAGCAGTGAGCACTGTTGTTAGCGGCAGCTCTAGGATGTGTTATTTCTGATAGGAAAATGTATTGAGCAGGTAATGAGCATGTATTGATAATTGCTATGTAATAATAACTACAATAGCTAATATATTGATCCTTTTACATGCAGTGTCTTGTGTAATCTTGACAACATCTCTGTGGGGTAAAAGCTACTATTAGTCAAATTTAGAAGATGAGAAAGCTCAGGGCACCTTCTGGCTCAGTAGGTAGAGCCTGTGACTCTTGACCTCAGGGTTGTGAGCTAGAGTCCCACATTGGGGGTGGAGATTGCTTAAAAATAAAATTAAAAACAAATTCTTTAGAAGATGAGAAAACCATGGCCTAGAAAAGGGAAAAACAAAACCAAAACGCTGTCAGTCTAAACGTTATACTTAGACCACAGACGTATGTCCTTTTTTCCTTTAATCGAGGCTTAATTTCAGACAATTGCTAATAGTAACCAAAACATCTGATTATAAAGAAGAAGGTGATGAGTGTGGTTGAATATATTATCTTTGCTGACTCTAGACAGCTACTGGGTTCAGCGGAGGATTCCTTATGGCCTCTTCATGTTCCAAATAGACCTTACCAGAACAGATGGGCAGAATGGACACCAGAGAAGGATAGCACAGGCAAAAAGAGGGTGAAATGTAATAAACACCTGGAGTGAAGTAGATGCTCAGTGTTGGTTAGTTGTTATTATACTTATTGTAAATGATCATCCTCAGCACTGCAGAAGGTCAGCGAGACATACCTTGCCAATCACAGAGGCAGCTCCCAGAGACAATTTGAAAACCCCTGCCTGAATGACAAAGCAAAAGATCCTCCTGAAGAGCCTTGTTTGCATCCAGAGAAGGTTTGCATAGTGTTTTCACAATCTCCAGAGTGTTTTAAAAACTATTATCTCATGATGGCACTTTTAGCTAAGGAAGAGAAGATAATCAACATTGTAACCCTCCGGGTTTTACTCACTCAGGCTGCAGGAACTGACAGAGGTAGTGCTGCTTTGGATACGGTCTTATCTAGGGCTAAATTGTCAGGTTCGCAAAATCTGTCTGTTCTTATGGGAATGTGGTTTTTGGCTGGGTTGCAAATAGGGAGCAGGGAGTGGAGGACAGGGATAGGCTTCATAAGTTAAGTTATGTGCAAATTATGACTGACACAAATATTCCAAGTGTTCAAATTAAGTCATGACACAATTCTGTAATGTAAAAAGCAAAATAGCCATGTGGGTCCATATAAAGGCCAAAGATCTCGATGTTCCAGAAATGACAGGAAAGGGTTAAAGGAAGTACATGCAGAGAATATTAAAAAATGACTTGATCTGAAATTCATGACAAAATAAGACTGCTATAAACCTCAGGATAGTGGGTGTAACTCAGGAGTTGGACAATTGACCAAATGAAACTGTCTGATTTTCCTAGGCTGGAGACGTTTCCTGCCTTGGACGTCTGGGTCTGTCTCAATGTCCAAATAGCCTTACTTCAAAGTGTTTGTGGGAGCAGAGAGAATTGGGTGAGTGTGTTTATTCAGTGCTGGTGGGAGGAATGGAAGGAGGTTGGGCTTGGGAATTAAGTCTGGGTTTAAGAGCACATGGACCAGCAGGAGCTAACCATTTTTCTACAGACGAGCATCCAGGGCACTTTTCAGGAAGAAGGAAACCCTGGGAGGGAAGAACCTGGGGAACAGGAGAACACAAAAATCTTTGAGGCTACTTAGGTGTGGAGGTAAGTCACAGTGGTGTTGAGTGCCCTAGGGAACAACATGGGAAGTTCTTTCACTTTAAAAAATTTTTTAAAATATTGACATATTTTTTACTTTAAAGTTAGAACAATATTACAAAGAACTCCTGAATGCTATCTATTCAGATACATAATTTTAAAAGCTTTCCCCCTGGGGCACCTGGTTAGCTCAGTCGGTTAAACATCAGACTCTTGATTTCCGTTCAGGTCATTATCTCACAGTTCATAAGTTCCAGCCGCAAGTCAGGCTCTGTGCTGACAGAATGGAGTTTGTTTGAGATTCTCTCTCTCCCTTTCTCTCTGCCCCTCCCTCACTCTCCCTATCTCTCTCTCAAAATAAATAATTAAACTTTAAAAATAAATAAACAAAAACTTGCCCCCTATACTAAAAAATCATTTTCTTTCTTTCTCTGTAAAGGCATGTATATACATACATATAACCTATATTTTGAACCATATGAGGGTAAGTTGCAAACATTGTACCCCTTTATTCCTTAATATTTCAGGTTTCATTTTTTAAGAAGATACTCTTTTAAATAATCATAGTATACTATTTCAACTTCAGTATATCAAAGATTGATAGAACACTCCTATCTACTCCACAGACTATATTATAATTTTATCAATTGTCTCAATGCTCTTTACAGCAATTTTCTTTTCTAGTAGGGAAGGTCTCTCTCTCTCTTTAAGTTTATTTATTTGTTTTGAGAGACAGAGATAGTGTGAGTGGGGGAAGGGCAGACAAAGAGGGAGAGAGAGAATCCCAAGCAGGCTATTTGCTGCCAGTGCAGAACCTGACATGGGGCTTAAACTCATGAAACTGCAAGGTCATGACCTGAGCCAAAACCAAGAGCCAGATGCTTAACCGATTGGGCCACCCAGGTGCCCCAGAAAGATCTCTCTTTGACTGGGGGATGAAATTGGCCTAGCAGGACAAAAATACATGTTCCTACTCTCAGCACTCATTGGGATCTTTATTAGTTGGGGAACCCCAGAAGATCAGTTGTTTGGTTGTTTTGGGGTTTTTTTTGTTTGTTTCATTCTTACTCCATTTCCTCTCTGAGAGTACAAAACTAATCAGCAGGAAATATCCAAGTGCTAAAGAATATATATAGGGGCAGGAGGGGCAGAGAGAGAGAGGGAGACACAGAATCTGAAGCAGGCTCCAGGCTCTGAGCTGTCAGCACAGAGTCCGAGCCAGGGTTCAAACCCACAAGCCGTGAGATCATGACCTGAGTTGAAGTTGGATGCTCAACCGACTGAGCCACCCAGGTGCCCCAAGAGATCTTTAGTAGTAGAAGTTTTCTGGCATGACATCATGTGGTTTTAACAGGGTCCTGGGATGCGAAATTGGGCATAGCCTCCCTGCCAACACCCCACCTGTCCCTACCACACAGTCTAAGCTTAGGAGTAAGAATGGACCATTGTACTTCTTCTATTTCTTTTTATCTTTTGAGGGGAGGGGTGGGTAGAAAGGAGAGTAATAGATGTTTGAAGGAGCAAAAATTGACTTGGGGTAAAAATAGAGAGATCGTCTCCTATGACAATTCTAGTCCTTTACTGAGAATAAGGCTTTCTCTAGGAATTTCTCTCAAGGAAAGTGTGACACTGTACTTATTTGTCTTCTCAACCATTCTCGGGTTATTTGGAACTAATTTCTGTTTAAGAGTCACTGGACGTCAACTTTCCCCACTGACTCCCCATATGTGAACCAATTTTAGGGCTGCTTCTCCCCACCATCTTCCTGTTCTGCAGGATAAGCTGTGGCTTATCACACAGCAACAGGAATGTTGTGGGGAGTGACCAGAGAAATGGGAAAAGAACAAGCAAGAATCTCTCCCTTGAGGGGATTGGGTAGTGCGGAGAAAGGAGAGGAGACCCCAAAGACCAAGTTGTCAGGGTTTAGGGAGTCTGGGGTCCCCAATGGAGCCAAGTTTCATCTCAAAGCCAGTCCTTCTGTTTCATTTCTCCCTCCAGGAAAGATGAAGCTGACTCTGATACAGATCTTCTTTATGATGTTGCTGCTGTTACTGGGCCTGGGGGTGGGTCTGGGGTTGGGACTTCAGATGGCTGCCGCAGTCCTCGAGGATAGTGATGAGCCCCTGAGTGAGTTTTTGTCTAGCGATTCAGAGGACAAGACCAAAGCCACTAAAGGAGAGGGCATCCGAACTACAGAAACCATGCTGGTTAGCAACAAAGGAATAGTGCAACCTGGCTGGCCAGAAGAGACAATCCTTGGTGAAGACGAAGTTGGAGGGAACCAGATGCTCAGAGCTGAAGCTCCCTTGCAGAGCAACAAAGACTATCTCAGGTTTGACCTGATGGCCAGGGAATGCAATGCCCTGATGGCACACAAGGTGAAGGAACACAACCACACATGCATAGCCCAGTACACATTCATCCACGAGGATCTAGATACAGTCAGAGCTGTCTGTAATAATCCTGTTGTTGCCTGTGAACTCAAGGGAGGCAAATGCCACAAAAGCTCCCGTCCTTTTGATTTGACATTCTGCAAGTTATCCAAACCAGGCCAAGTCACTCCTCACTGTAATTACCTCACTTTCATTTTTGAAAAGTTTATTATTATATCCTGTAATGACATGAAGGTCCAGGTGATGTCTGGACAATGAAGCAACTTCCCTTCTTCTTCCCCTTCCCCTTCTCCTCTTTCCCCTCCTTCCCACTTCTTTCTCATACCCTTTTCCTCCTGTTAGGTGTTCTGCAAAAAAGGTTCTGGGAAGAGAGGCTGACCTGTTCCTTACCACTGTCCCCTGAAAACACAATTCTTCATTGTCCTAGGTTTCACCCACCCTACATCTCTTTTTGCTGGGGTTACAGGTGGCAAAATAGGGTAATGATATATGGTCTCTCCAGGTCCTCCATCACTCCTGCCCTGGAAAGGGATCAGTGAAGAGATTCTCTAGTATCTGCTGTGATCCTTGCCACCAGTCTGTTCCCTGGTATGTTTGCCTTTGGATATGGACTACAGGAGCTCACTGTAGTCCCATGTCCTTCCCTGTGATCCATGAGCCTCTAGGACAATCACGTGAGCCCCTTGGGCTTTCCACACAGCACCCCTGCACTGCAGAAGCAAATCAGTGACTGTATCTAGGACTGTAGGACTGCATCTGGTGAACCATGTGGATAAGGTTTTTTTTCTTGAGTTACCCAAAATAGAAGTTTCAGGTAAAGAATTGTGGACCTGTATACATGATTTAATTAGCCTTTAATTAATTTGAGTATACAATATATGACCCTATGAAGTCATAAGCATCTTTGTAGAAGCAACTATATTATAAGTTTCTCCTATATTCTTCTTTGGCACATTTATTGATTATCTGCTTGTTGATTATCTGGGACCTTTTCAGGAGTTATAAAAATTGTATGAAACATAGAATCATTCAAGAGGAGCAAGTTTTCTGACCCCTGTCAAACACTATGCAGTCAATAAAAACTGCTGAGTAGCCTGATTCACATTTCAGAGGGCTCAATGTGTTCTTTTCTCTTCCAGACAAGCAGGAAGGAAGCTATCCTTCTATGTGGACACTCTACTAGATGCTGTCACGTACTTGGTTTTACATAATCCCTATAAAGAGGGACAGTAGATAAGCTCCACTTTACAGATGACAACTAACAGGCTCAGAGAGGCCAATTTCACCTTGACCAAGATCACCCCACTTATAAATGGTTGATCTATAATTCAAATGGGGTGTTCCTGCCCTTCCCTTCATTTGCTGCTTCCCGATTTGCAGCACCCTTCAGTTTGCTCTCCTGAACCCCAAAGAGTAACATTCAACTCACTAGAGGTTAGGGCCTGGATTCTGGATTCTTTGTCTTGTGATAAGTACATATGTACTATATACTATAGGAAAATGAGAGAGAGAGAGAGAGAGAGAGAGAGAGAGAGAGAGAGAGAGAGAGACACGATGTTCAGAAGAGAATCTCTAGGTTTTGAGTCCTTCTCTCAGGACATGAACACAGAGCCAGACTGTGACTTTAGAGGCCCAACATCCTGGATAATTATGGATTCTACCCAAAATACTTAAAAAACAAAAACAAAAACAAAAACAAAAAAAAAAACAGAGAGAGATAGAGAGAGAGACCTGGGGCACCTGGGTGGCTCAGTTGGTTGAGCGTCCTACTCTTGATTTTTGCTTAGGTCATGTTCCCAGAGTCATGGGTTTGAGCCCCATGTCAGACTCTGCACTGAACATGGAGACTGATTAGAATTCTCCCTCTCTCTCTCTCTTTCTCTACCTCTTCCCCTCTTCCCTGCTTGTGTACTCTCTCTCCATCTCAAGAAAAAAAGAAAGAAAGAAAGAGAGAGAGAAAGAAAAAAAGAAACCCAACTAAAACATAGTACATTTATATGAAAGTTCAACAAAGTTTGGATTTTTACCCAAATTACTACACAAATCCTTTTGAAAAAAATATAAATACATTTTTTTCAAAATCAATCTCCTTGCTCTCACTAATATTCTCTTTTTCTTTTTGGCCCCTATTTTGCTAGTGATCTTACTCTGCCTGTTGGGTAACATAGCACTGAACATAATAAGTTGCTGGAAGGGAGGGACTAAGGCCAAAAAAATCACTTTATGATCTGCAAGGCATTGAAACATCATCTTCAGAACACCCTGTACAAGTTTCTCTCAACCTTGGCTGTTCATTAGAATCTCCTTGTTAAAAATACAACGCATATAATCCCAATAAGTATAATTCCAGGGATATCGATCCAATTAGTCTGAGTTTGGGTCTGCACACCAAGTGGAATCCAAGCATTTTGAGGCTTCTGTTACAATTCCTCTTACAGCAGTTTTTCTGTGAATTGTTTTCAAAGACTGTTAATAGACATGTGAAAATGATTTGGGAGATGCTGGGTGAAACAGAGTTAAGTTTGTTTTATGCAGATCTCACAACCTTTACTATTAGCATGGCTGTGAATCTCTAATAGGCAGAGTTAAGATCATACTCAGTATTGCTAAATTGATTTTACCATGAAATCCACCCTTCCCTTAATCATTTAATAACATCTTCTAGAACTTATGTTTCTAGTTGGGAAAAGTTGTCCTAGAATTTTCTAAGCCTTTCTCCTGGCTTTGTTCATTTAATATAGCTATCACTGGGCCTACCTTAAAGACTAACAACTAGATAAGATTATAAAGTAATCTGTGTTTAGACTATAAGTCAATCTCATGTGATATGCTGCTGTAGGAGAAAGGAGCCAGTTCTTGAGAATCATATAATCATGGCATGAAATTGAAGCTCTGCCATTTAAAAGCAGTTGTGATCATGGATAATAGTTCTTAGGTCAGAACTTCAGTCCCTTGTTTGTAAAATGAGATAATAGTACCTACTTCAGTACCTAGCTATGAGAATTATATGAGGTTAAATGGCCCATAATAGGGTTCAGTAAGTGGCAGCTGCATTTGGTGGTGATGTTGCTGGGCTCGGTGCTCATTGAGCACCTAACCATTTCTTTAAAAAAATTTTTAATGTTTATTTTTGAGAGAGACAGAGGAGCATGAGCAGGGGGAGGGGCAGAGAGAGGGAGACACAGAATCCTAAGAAGGCTCTAAGCTGTTAGCCCAGAGTCCAACACAGGACTCAAACTCAAGAACCGCAAGATCATGACCTGAGCCGAACGCTTGATCAACTGAGACACCCAGGTGCCCCAAGCACCTAAGCATTTTGACAGGCTCCATCTGGAAGCAGTACTATAATACAAAATGCAATACCATTGGCACGTCTTACAATTTTGGGCATGTTGGCTACTATGTGGATATGTGGGGTCCTGTAAAACTCCTCAAATTCCATCCCTTGGATATCCACAAAATTTATATACTTGGGGCTAGTGCAGTCCTTAGAACTCAGCAAACAGGGCCTCTGCTCTGGGCCCAACCCCTCAGAACTACCCTACACTTTTGGAGTGCCTTTCACATAGGAAGTCCTCCTCTTGTGTCTGGTACTGACTGGGACCAACAGTACCATCTAGATCAGGTGCTCCGAGCTTGAACTGGGACCTGTGTAGGCTTGAGTCCCATTTATCCCCTTGAGGGCACTGCTCCCCTATCCCATGTGTAGGGCCAACCAGCTGCCCCTCCAAGAGTTCTGAGACTTGCACATACACAGTCATCCTAGAGGCCTAAAGCCAAGCCCTGGTTCTAGGAGGGTGGCCTGGAAAGTGGATCACTCCCTCTGGCTGGCATGGTATTTCTTTTGTGGGATCACATGAAAGTGGGTCACCAGAATGATGCTCACATATGAATTTGGCTTAAAACACATCCCAGACACAGTATGAATTTAGCATTCTGAGTCACCAGTGGTCACTACTGACTCTTGGAGTTGATGCATTGTGGGAGGCTTTTACCCATTCATGTTCTTACTGCTCTGCTACTTCTAGCCTATAACACTTGAGGGGGGCAGGGATAGCAGCACCTGTTCCTTGCCCTGTGAGCCCCCCACTGCTGGCACCCAGGGTGGTTACTCCACTGTTTGCAAGCTCCACACCATGTGGAGATAGGGAATAGCTACTCCTGTCTCCTGTAAGGGCTTTGAGGCCATTGCTTTGTAGGACCCATGGGGTACTTCTAATCAATGTCTTCTCTCACCTCTGATCGATAGGTGATGATGTACTCTCTTGGGTTGGTCTTGATAAAGATAAATAATTGTCGTTCCTTATGTAAACAGTACTGCTCTTCTTACTCTGCCCATGGGCCCCTTGCCTATTCTCCTTGCTGGTGGCTATGTACAGAAGGCAGGAGTGTAGTGTTGTTAGTTATACAAGAGGTCACATCCTAGAAATGCAGTGATTATGATCCACAGAGTTCAAGAGAAGATATGGTTGGAAGATATATTGTTTTATGTTTATATTATAAAATTACCAATGACAAATTCCATATGACCAGAAAATGAATTATCATTCTCATTTTCCTGCATACTCTGGGTGCCATGGTCTGAATATGTGTCACTCCTAAATTCCCAAAATGTAATCCTAATGCCGAATGTGATAGTATTAGAAGGTAGGCCCTATCAGGGCACCTGGTTGACTTGGTTAAGCATCAACTTTGGCTCAGGTCATGATCTTGCAGTTTGTGGGTTTGAGCCCCACATCAAGCTCTCCACTGTCAGTGCAGAGACCACTTGGGATCTCCTGTTTCTCTCTCTCTCTCTACCCCTCTGCATTCATGTGTGCTCGTGCTCTTTCCCTCTCAAAAGTGAATAAACATTTAAAAAATATATTAAAACAAAAAAAGAAGGTAGGGTCTATCCCGGGGGATTAGGTCATGGAGCACTTATGAATGGGATTAGTGCTGTTATAAAAGAGATCCCCCAGAGCTCTCTAGCCCCTTCTGCCATGTGAGGATACTATGAGAGGTATACAACCCAGAAGAAGGCCCTAACGGACCATGCTGGCACTCTGACCTTGGACTTTCAGCATCCAGCACTGTAAGAAATAAATTTCTGTTGCTTGTAAGACACCTTATCTGTAGTACTTGTTATAGCAGCCTGAATGGACTAAGTCACTGGGTAAGACTTGCATTTGTGGTTATTGACAACAATGTAAGGTAACAAAATAAACTTCCAGAGAAAGTCATTAGAAGCTGGTGCTTACAGGCAGCTCAGTGGATGA